GGTTGATAAATAAAGCTGTTGGCCAATGGTGAGGCAGAGTAGGGTTAGGCAGGACATTCTAATGTGAGGCGGGGGGAGAGAAAGACAGAGCAGAGGAGATGCTGCTAGTTGCCACCCTGAGAAGCAAGATGTAAAGATACTGGTAAGCAACAAGCCACGTGGCAAAATATAGATTTATAGAAATGGGTTAATTTAAGATGTAAGAACTAGATATCAAGAAGCCTGCCATGGCCATAGTTTAAAAATAATATTAGTCTGTGTGTGTTTATTTGGGTCTAAGCAACTGTGGGACTGGGCAGGACAAAGGAAAACTTCTGACTACAAGCCATTTCTAGGGAATCTAGACCACATGGGGAGAATTATAAGACCAGTAGAACCCCCCCCCCAGAAGGTCACTCCGTTTTTAGTTCCTAGATGCCTCACATAGTTCTTTCCCATGAGACCCTTAATGGCCTTGATCAAAACCAGATCTCATACTTTTATACAATGTGATTTTCTGTATCCAGCTTCCCAAACAATGATTCCAGCTTCTGTCTCTGCTAATGGCTAGAAAAAAAATCTGTCTTTTAAAACACCAATTTGATTCTGTTACTCTCATGCAGACAATTCTGCTTTCCATAAACCGAAAAATAAGTTATCAATGAGTTAGTACATTCACATAAGTCCTGAAAATATAGTGTGCCAGGTCTGAAAATGGTATCAGCTTCCCTGTTCTAGGCACTAAAGAGGAAAGTCCTGGGGTCCATTTCCAATTCTGCTCAGCACAGATAATTTTAAAGAAATTATAGCTCTGTATAGTACTGTTTCTTAAAAATTTGGAGTTCATTGTCCGAGATCTTTCCTAGACTGATGCTAAAGTGAAGAAGAAATATAGAAAACATCACAGCCAATTTTATAAATGTCCCATATTATTTTATCACTGACTATTCTCAATCACAGACCAGGAATGGAGTCATGTGAGGAGAACTCTGAGTGCTTGTGAGAACACTCCAAGATAACAAGTTTTGTGACTGCAATTTCTTTAAAACATGGATTTATTCTTGGAATGTGTTTTCATGTTCCTCACAGATGTAGTGAATAGGAGTGATTTTACTTCATATTACTCATTATTGCTTGCTGCTGTATTTCAATTAAATGTTTATATGCCTCTATGGAAAAAAAATTGCCACATAAGACTTGTCCTTGTGATCGTATACAGCCTGAACTCATGAGAACTTTACTCATGTGATTACTCTTAACCCTCAGAGTATTGGTCTGGATAAAGTTGGCTATTGCATGAGACTTTATTTATTGGCTCTATTCTCCCAGTTCCCACTTCATCTAAACTGGTGATAACTATAAATCAACTATACAGTTCTCTGACAATGTGTTTAGTCACTTTCAACTAAAAAGTTTCTTAAAATAGTGAGTATTGTTTTACAGTGACTATCCTGTTGAATTCTGAGATCAAATTCTTGAGGTTGAATCATGGTGATTTATGTATTGTTGTTCATGAGATTCTGTTTGTGTTCTGGCCTGGATCCCAGTAAAATACTAGAAGAATCCTTAGGAAAATAAAGTTGATATGGGAAGAAGTTGGTAAAGGATGTAATTGTCAAAGAAGGAAGCAAGATTGCACCAGAGTGTGGCTTTTGCTACAGTTGTTACACAAGGCTTACTCATAATTAAATTACTCATCAGACAATTCTTTAAGCTAATACTGGATATTTAAATAACACTGTAATATAATATATACAGTAGATAACCAATTAAATGTACTAGTTTTTAATGTGTTGACACATCTTTTCCAAATTACTGTGTTTTTCTTTTTCTCTCAATATGACAATGGCACACAGATATTCTTGTGATTATTTTAGATGTGAGGAAGCTGAATTAGTTATTCAAGGAATTCACCCATACAAATGTTTCATAGTGGATGTATATTAGAGTCAAAATTCATTTGTCAGCATGTTGAGCTTCATAGTCCAAGCCTTTTATGATTGCACTGGCTACATGATAAGTGGAATACTTTAATAGTAAATGATAAAGGCTGTAAGATAAAACCACTTCTCCGTACTCTGCCTCTTCAGATTTGAGTGTTTAAAGTGCTGTATCTTCATTTCTCCATTGCAACGCCCCCCCATCTCCAGGAATTAGCATACATACCAACCTGTTAACCACATTAAAGAAGTTGTATTGTAAGATGGCATTTGACTTTGAAATTATTCTTTCAAAATTAGCTCTATTGACAAGTTTTTTGAGAACTGCTGACAAAGAACAAGAATTTTTTAAATTATTATCATTGTTTACATGTTTTTTGGTTAGAAAAGTAGAAATTTAAAGAAACTATGTTTCAAAATTTGTGACCTTTTTTTTTTTTTTTTTTTTTAATTGTGAAGTTTCTGAACTTCACAGTCCAGTTGCTTGATCTAAGTATTCTTAAATGGTAAGCATATTTGTCATCAATGTTCTGAAGTTATCTTCCTCTGGGCTCTTGAGTATGAGATGCTATCATTCAGATGAATGTCTCACTATTATCTGTTGCTAATGTTTTCCTGCCTGGCCCACAGTCAGGACAAATCTCTGTCACCCGCTAGTCCCACAGCCACTCAGACCCGACCAAGTAAACACAGAGACTTATATTGGTTACAAACTGTATGGCCGTGGCAGGCTTCTTGCTAACTGTTCTTACAGCTTAAATTAATCCATTTCTATTAATCTATACCTTGCCACGTGGCTTGTGGCTTACCGGTACTTTACATCTTCCTTGTCCTGATGGCGGCTGGCAGTGTCTCCCTCACCCAGCTTCCTGTTCTCTCAATTCTCCTCCCTGTTAGTCCCGCCTATACTTCCTGCCTGGCCACTGACCAATCAGTGATTTATTCATTGACCAATCAGCAACACATTTGACATACAGACCATCCCACAGCACTTCCCCTTTTCTTTTCTTAAAAAGGAAGGTTTTAACCTTTACACATCTCCAAAGTCAGCTTGGTATATTTGGGAATTTGGGCGTAGCTTCTCTTACTACTTCCTGCTGGAGGGGGGCGCTGTATCTTATGGGACACAAAGAATATTTTAGGATTATGGAGTAGTCCATGAGGGTGTATCATCTGAGCCAGTTGCCTTGAAACGGTTCTGGATGTTGGATCATCTGGGCCATGGTGTCATCGGAGACCTTTCAGGGGGTCTTGGCTGGTCAAACCTGATGTGTCTTAATCTGGAACAAATCCATAGCCTCTGGCTTTCTGTGGAAACAAAAGCAGAGCCTCCTTTCCAAAGCAACATATCCTTACATCCAAATTTTGAAGTCAAGGTACCTTTAAAATATACATTTTAGCATAACTCAACAGCTTTTGTAATCAAATGTTTTTCTTTAGTTACGAATATCAAAGAGAACATAATCCAGATTCTCTGTGTGGTAGCCATCTTTACGTGGCTTATTTTTTTATATTAGCTTGAGCCTATTGCTTTGAACTGCAGCCTTCTAAGCCTGAAACGGCGCTGGCGCTGCTGGCTCCGCCCACTTCAGCTTCCCAACATGGCGGTGATACATTTTCCACCAGCTCTGGGAGCCATCAACTCTCAGAAATAGTGGGTCTATGCTTCTATCAAAGCAGTGTGTAGCCCAGAAACCTCTTTTTTTTTTTTGTACTAGCAAAGGCTAAATCCACCACACAGCTTAATGTGCCACTTGCAGAGGCCTCATTCCCACCATACTGCAGGTCGAGCATGCACGCACGCTAGGAACCTGCCAGTAGCTCAAACCGGCAGGCTGCCGCTAACTTGAAAGAGACAATTAGGAACTGTTTTTAGCTCCGTTTTAGAATCTTTTTCCTCAGGTTTTAGGTGGAAACTCTTGCCACCACGTTGGGCGCCATTTGTTATCTGTGCAATTATCTGTGCATTAATGCCACTGAAGTTCCTCTCCTCAGTCCTTTGGAAAGAAACATAATTTAAATGCCCATTAAGTGGACAGCAGAGGTTTATAACATCAGTGTCCTATTCGCTTATGTTTAGTCCTGTGTGCCTCAAGATTGCCTTAAAGAAGTAAATGCCATATCTAGGATTATTTTTATAAGTCTTACCTTTGAGTGAAATATTCTGCTATTCATATCATTACCTTGTTGGAAAGAAGTCCCAACATATTTGATATTATTCAAAATATTACTAGCATTTCTAGTCTGTAAGGAAAATGACTATTGCATTTATTTAGCTCTTAAGAGAAAATGAAATTCACCGGGCAGTGGTGGTGGTGCACGCCTTTAATCCCAGCACTCAGGAGGCAGAGCCAGGTAGATCTCAGTGTGTTCGAGGCCAACCTGGTCTACAGAGTGAGATCCAGGACAGGTACCAAAACTACACAGAGAAACCCTGTCTTGAAAAAAAAAAAGAGTAAGTGAAATTCATGAGAATAAAGACCTTTGGAGTTGAAAAAAATGATTGCAGAAATGTAAGTTGGGCTTTACATCTACCATATGTCGTGTACATTGGACTATGTGCCTGACGTGAGGAATGTTAAATAATTCTACACATATGTCTGTCCAAAATGCTAGACTTGTTGATGAATTCTGTTCTGTAGTGACAGCATTCTATGTCTGGAGATATGTAGATTGTCAGTTTATAAACTAGTACATGACACTCAGCCAAGGTTTCACAGCAAGGGTTCTACTGTGTAACAGTGCATTTGACTGGGGTTAGATTTTGCTTATTCAGAAATATAGAGTCATTGAGTCAAACCACTTAGAAGCACAAAGCCTAAATTTGTTTTCCAAAGCATTATCTAAGGCATCCCATTAGAGTTAATAGGTGGACTGTTGCTCTTCGCTGATATCAGATTTTGCCCATCATTTTTCAGTGTTCCAGTTATTATTTTAAATGATGAAGATTTGATTTGGTAAGGCATCTGCACTGAACTAGTGAATTCATATAAGAGAATCATCCTAATTTCTGCCTAAAATGTGTAAGAAAATACGCATTTGTTGTTAATACATACATATATTGTTGTGGTCTATGTTCAGTTGTTACAGGGTCGATCACCCAAACCCAACACGAGGGAGCTGCTTCAGCCAGGCAGTGGTGGAGGCATGCTGGAGCAGGCCAGTGGAGACTGTGATGACGAAGACGGCTGTGGGGGATCAGGAAGTGGGGAAGTCAAGAGGACCCTAAAGATCACAAACTGTGAGTGCAAGACTCTGGCTCTGCTTTCAAGCGGTTGGTTTTGAAATGTCAGTTAGGAACGGCCATGAACTCAGAGGTAGACAGGAGTAACTGGCAAAGGAAATGCACCTGTTTTTAACTATGTAGTGTGTGCATTCTTGGGGTTTTATGTTGCGCTGGTGGCTTTATGTGGAAATGACACTTTTTTATAAAGAACTGATGAGTGATGGGCAGTTTTGAGAATTATACAGTTTTAAAAGAAACAATCTTTAGGACATATTGTTCAATTTATATTATTGATAAGTAATGTGAACCAGGTGAATAAGTACCACGAAACAGCCAAATGTGCAATTTCACAATATTACCATGTTCCCACCTACGTGGTTTTCACTCTGTTAGTTTTTGATGTCATCTAATTAGATTCATCTCTTCTGAATATGCAGTCTTATTAGTTACTTGAGAGTTTTATACAATGTGTTTTGATCATGTTCAACCTTCTCCCCAAACTCTTCCTCAATCCTGTGAATGTTCATTTTTGAAAAATCTCCCTAATGTTGACTTTCTTTTTGTTTATATGGACTACAAATTATAAATGTTTCTGAATGTTTAAATATTCATTTACATGAAAGATGTAACTTCCAGGGCTGAGGAGATAGCTCAATCTGTAAAGTGCCTACCGTACAAACATGAAAATTGACTGAATTTGGAACCCTTAGTAGACACCTAAAAACCCAGGTACAGTGGTGTGTGTCTATAATCCCAGCTCAGGAAAGATTGAGTTCAGGGATTCCTGGAACTCACTGGGCAGAGACCCTGGCCAAATAAAAAAATAAATAAAGTGGAGGGCAATTGGTGGCTGGCATCTTCCTTCGACTGCCATGTACACACACACACACACACACACACACACACACACACACACACACACACATGCCCCACACACATACCTAATACTATTCATGTGCATGCATGTGCACCTATAAACAGAAAATATACAACCTACAATTTAAAAGTTTTGAAAAGCAAAAAAATGAAAAAAAAAAAACCCTACCAAATGGTGTTCCAATTTGGTCTTTATATACAAGATAAAGAAAATAGGATCTATACCCTCCAATGTCGTGCATGTTTATTTGTTCATGGGCCAGGGCAATAAAAGTGATCAAATGAGAAAAAACAAAGTCAAGGTTAATATAGCCCAAGCAGTTGGATTTCAATTACCTCAGCTATGATTTTACCAAAGCTTAAACTGAAGTAATCTTTCTGGCTATTGAGTCCCCAGATGCAGATTGGCCTGATGTCCTATTCTGCACACAAGAGTCTTTTGTACTCGTCACATATATCCTCTGCTGGGAGAAAGTACTCAGTAATAATGCTCCAAAGATTAAAATGTCAGCTTCTCATGCCTTTAAAAAAACATGTTTTATTAGCAAAGTGTATTGATTTAAAAAGCTAGAAACCAATAGTGATGCAAAATATAAAAGAATTTGTATAATGAAATGGGTCTGCTTGTTACACATGGTAATTGGTGTATTTAACAGGGAAGGTAAATAAATGAGGGTTACTATGAGTGAGCAGCAATGGAGCAAAGGATATAAGTGGAGTACTTCCTGCTTCTGCTGGCAGAATTAGAGACATCTGGTGTCCTAGTTGGTATGAATAGTCCTTCCTGCTTTGATTTTTTTATTTGTTTTTTTTTTTTTTTAGATCTATACACAAAAAATAAAATGAAAGGGGTTTTCAATAGTAAAATGACCTTGACTAAGACTTAAAAGATTCTCTTCTTTATTTGGCAATTATGACAGAATGACATTCAATTCAAAATCACTTATTTCCTAATATACTCTTTACATATATATATATATATATATATATATATATATATATATATAGAGAGAGAGAGAGAGAGAGCACATATATCATACACATATATGTATATATTGCCTATATAGGCATATGTCATATACATACTTATGTATGTATATTAACATATGATATATGTTATCTAATTAGTTATCTTAATGTTAGCAGGATTCTAAGACATCAAAATATGTACCAGAAAGAAATAATGAAATAGAAACAGAAATAAAATAATCAACTGACATGAATTAGATTGAAATTGCCTCCATATATATGTCCATCTTTATATTTGTGCATATGCTGGCAAAATTAAATTTTAAGACATTTTTCACATTCTAGAGTTATTTAGAATCTCAAAAACACGGTATAGATAAAATTTGGTTTGTTTCATGAGAGAAATAGATCCAGTGAAAGATGTTCAACTACTGTTTTCTCATCAACTTGGGTATCAAGGTGGCAGGAGAGAATCTGTTACTTCAAAACCTGCTTTTCAATTACTGCTCAAATGGTCAGGTTGTCTTAAGCAAGTCCCAGTCGAACCTGGGAAGATTAGATACAGATGATTGTCAGAAACTCCAGGCAAACATGGAAAACATCCCGTCTGTTTGCTCCAAGTGGGCCGCCTGCTGTTTCTAAGTGTTTATAGCTGTTGTCTTTCAATTTTTAATAAGTAGGTAGGAAATCACCGTAGATAGACTTCTGAAATGAAGAAGATTGAGGACACTGGTGAAGTGTGGGCTATACCTCTAGGTTTTCAAAGTACTGCAATTTTGTTTTTTGTAACTTTGGGCTAGTTCATTGGTCAGAAGGTAAGAGCAGTTGTTGTGGTCTCAAGAGCTGGAAAACACCATCTTCTAGAATGGTCAGTGGCTGTTACTTATGTTTAGAGCTTTGCATGCATCATTATTTGCTCTTTCTACTCTGTGTGTTCTATGTGTACTCCTTATTAGCTGGAAATGTTATGGTTATTTGTAATCTTGAAAGGTCCAATTAAAATAATTATACACACACACACACACACACACACACATATATATATATATATATGTATATATATATATGTATGTATGTATATATGGAGAGAGAGAGAGAGAGAGAGAGAGAGAGAGAGAGAGAGGGAGGGAGATACAGAGAATGAAACATATTACTACTCTGTGGTATGTAAATTCAATGCCTGTTCCATATATGAAAATTTACAAAGCTTAAAAACATTTTTCTAATTGCACTGTTTTCTATTTCTACACATGTCTACTTCAGGCAATGCAAAGAACTATGTGACTCAAAATGTAAAGTTTTAGCACCAAAATATTTATCATTTAGGCATCATTTTTATTTAATCACCAACAATACTACATAATTTAATATATTTAATAGCTTATTTTTTAAATGTATTATTTGTGTGCATGTTTATGTGTGAATGGATGTGTGTATGGGTGTGTGTATGTGTATGTGAGTATGTGTGTGTATTGTGAGTTTGTGTGTATATGTAATTGTGTGTGAATGTGTGTGAGTGTGTGTATGTGTGTGTTAGTGTATGTGTTTGTGAGTTTGTTTCCATGAGTGTGTGTGTTAGAGAGTGTATGTGAGTGACATGTAAGAGCATGTATCCATGGAGACCAGATAAGATCCGCTGGAGTTGGAGTTACAGGCAGTTGTGAGCCATCTGACATGGAGGTGAAAGCCAAATGGTTCCTCTGGGCAAGAGGAAGTTATGTCTGTGTTCTTTCCTAACTAGCTTTCTCTCCAGCTGTGTCATATTTTACAAAGTATTTCTTTTTGTAGTCCTGCCTGTGGATTCCTATTAAATAAAAAAACTTAAGTGTTACTTATAATAAGAAGCCATCTATGCTGCGTAGTTTTCAGAACTAGGGATTTAAAATATTTTCTCATTTCATCAGAATGGTTTTGAAATAATCTCATATCACAGGAACGCTTTCTACATTTGAATGTTTTACAAATATTTGGATATTCACTGAGAATCTCAAATTGTAGGAATAGCACCTTGAATCTTAATTTTGCCTCACTCTAAACACCGACACTGAGGTCCTTTTACATGGAGAACTCAAGCAGGACATACATGCTGATGGACACAATCGAGTTTTTCCTTTCTTTGCATGTTTGACAAACTTATTACTAAAACCAACGTCTCTTCATTAACTGGACTGTTCTTCTTAATCTCCAATGCTGATATTGTAAATCAGTGTGCCATTTGACAACAGGTTATAGGAAAACTATGAGCTGAGTGACTTTGAAAGTCTGTTGTAGTTCTTATATGATATCCATTTGTTAACAATGAGCAAGTTCATTTTGATAAGGTGGTTCACAGTAACAATATCAGACAAAATGAATTGGGTCTCAAGTTCATTTAGATGATAGACATTAAGAAATATAGTGTGATTTTTACATCTTCAAGTTTCTCTATCTATAAACTGTAATGCTTGTTAATTCTTCTTAAACAATATTATTTAGCATGTTTAGCAGAGTTTTCTTTTTAGTTTTCATTTTCACTGGAAAGCGTGTAAAAGACATCAGTGCCTGGTCAGTGTCTGTGCCAGTCGTGTTTCTGAGTGGCTGTATTGGAATCCTTGGTTACCTGTAATAACAGCAGTTCACACTGACTCGAACACTCACAGTACCACGGTACTCTTTGGGTTCCTGGGCCTTACTGAGTATTCTGTTCAGCCATCCAAGGCTTTTCTATAAAAAGAATCCACTTTCTAGATGGATAGAGCTATTGTTTATACTGTGTCTTTGATACCTCACTTAGAATCCTTATATCCACTTCAAACAAATGATTCTATGTCATGAAGCTAAGATGACCTTGGAAGAGACTGTCACAATCCAGATACATATTGAAATAAAGATGGTCCTTTGTTACTTAGTTAAGAAAAGATACTAATTTCCTTAGTGATGAAGGATTGTGGAGTGAGTGAAAATTCTTGGCTTCCTCCTATCTTTTTTCACATAAATCACCGTTGCTTCAAGATCTCAGCCAGCAGTAGACATTAGGGAGAGCTCAAAGAATATGACCTGAGTTTTCTTTTCAGAGCTATGAGAACTATGAATTAATGCTACTATAAAAATAATGTCATGTTCATTTCCATTGACTGTCATTTCTCAGGCTTTGAACAAAGATCAGGTGTCATTTTTCCATTACAGAGCTA